AAAAAATACCAACATTGTATTTCTAAGACTTGGAAAAAATGATTCTTTGTTTTGTATGGAACCAGAAAAAACCTGCATAGCTAAAGCAGTTCTTAGTAATAAAAACAAAGCCGGGGCATCAGCATACCAGATTTTAGGCTATACTACAAGACTATAGTAGTCAAGACAGCATGGTAGTAGCACAAAAATAGAGACATAGACATTTGGAATCGAATAGAAAACCAGGAAAAAAAACTAACATTATACAGCCACCTAATCTTTCAACCAAACAAGATCATACACGGGAGGAAAGAATTCTTATTCAATAAATGGTGCTGGAGAGAACTGGATACCCACATGTAAAAGCCTGGAAACTGGACCTGCACCCTTCTCCACTCACAAAAATTTATTCAAGATGGACAAAGGAACTTAAATTTAAGGCATGAAACAATAAAAATCCTCAAAGAAAGCACAGGAAAAACACTGGAAGATATCGGCCTGGGGAAAGACTTTATGAAGACTGCCGTGGCAATTGCAACAATAAAAATAAACAAATGGGACTTAATTAAACTGAAGCTTCTGTACAGCTAAGGAGACAACAACCAAAGCAAATAGACAACTTACACAATGGGAAAGGATATTTGCATATTTTGAATCAGACAAAAGCTTGCTAACTAGGATCTATAGAGAACTCAAATTTGTCCACATAAAAATGCCAACAATCCCATACATCAATGGGTAAGAGAGATGAACAGAACTTTCTCTAAAGACGAAGAATGGCTAGCAAACATGAAAAAAAGATCATCGTCCCTAATTATTAGAGAAATACAAATCAAAACCACCCTGAGATACCACCTAACTCCAGCAAGAATGGCCCACATCACAAAATCTCAAAACTGCAGATGCTGGCATGGATGTGGAGAGAAAGGAACACTTTTACACTGCTGGTAGGACTGCAAACTAATTTAACCTTTTTGGAAGGAAGTATGGAGAAACCTCAAAGAACTCAAGCTAGACCTCCCATTTGATCCTGCAATCCCATTACAGGGCAACTCCCCAGAAGGAAAAAAAGCCTTTTATCATAAGGACACTTGCACTTCTAGACTGTTTATCGCAGCTCAATTTACAATCACTAAACTGTGGAAACAGCCTAAATACCCACCAACCCAGGAATGGATTAATAAGTTGTAGTATATGTACACCATGGAAGACTATTCAGCCATTAAAAATGATGGAGCCTTTACATCCTTTGTATTAACCTTGATGGAAATGAAACATACTATTCTTAGTAAAGCATCACAAGAATGGAGAAGCATGAATACTATGTATTCAATTTTGATATGAGGACAATTAATGACCTAGTACATGGTGGGGGTGGGGGAAAGGGAGAGTAGAGAGAGAGAGAAGGAAGGAGGGGTGTGGGGGAAAGGAAGAGCAGAGACGGGAGGGAAGGCGGTGGGGTCTCAGTGTGTGACACACCTTCTGGGGGCAAGACACAATTGTAAGAGGGACTTTACCTAACAAGTGCAATCAGTGTAACCTGGTTTCTTATACCCTCAATGAATTCCCAACAATAAGAAAACAAAACAAAACAAAAAAATTATAATAAATATATAAATAAATAAAATAAAATTCTTCCACTGGGAAAATTCTCCAGTGGGGGGGGGAGTGGGGCCTCCATAATAATTCTTAGATCTCCAGGGCCTAGCACAAAATAAGTATGCTTAGTACATGTTTAATAAATGAATGAATGACATTCAAACCATATTGTATTCTGCTACTTTCCCTCAATAGTTTCCTATAAAAAAACAAACAAAGAACCCCCCCACCCCAAACACTACTCTTTATTCATGCCGCTCAAATCTGAAATATCAAAGCTGTTATAGCTAGGGGTAAGAGGACGCCCATGTCCATACCTGTCCTGGCTACTTGGTCAGCTCTGGTCTCAAGCTAAGACCAGGGAGACCAGCACCACAGCTTAGAAGCAATTTAAGCCTGGGTGAGAAGCCTGGATGAGAAGGCCCATCTCCAAAACAGCCTGTCAAAAGCACAAAGGCCATGACTCAAGCTATGGCATGGACCACATAAGAATGTCTTCTAGACTCTTATAGCTTTGAAGTTGTAGTAATTTCTAAGACATGCTCAGTAGACTACCTCTCGTAAACTGGGAATGAAATTCAATGCATGAAGTAAAAGAGACTCATGAATATAAAACAAACTTACCACAGAAACAAGTGTAGGTATTAGGAACATGTGCAGAAACATTCTGACAGGCAGGGCACCTCCAACCACTCTGGCCATCTGTCAAGAAAAATGGGGATAAGCCAAATAAATTTTCTTTCAAAAGCACATGTAATTTTTAAAAATTTAAATCCACAAGAAGCCACACTATTGAAGCAAGGATAGTAATTTGAATGTAAAGTGTAAAAGATGTTTGAGAAACAAATTCACAATACTGAATGCTTTGCTTAAATACTGCATTTGGGCTTGTATTTATAGGGACTTTCAGATACAGTGAATCAAGGTATCCATTTTGTTTGATTATTTCTAATGTCAATAGTAGCTGAATCTTGGTTCAAAAAGACAGTGTCTTGCTGTGTGGCCTAGGCTGGAGTGCAGTGGCATGATCATAGCTTACTGCAACTTTGAACTCCTGGGATCAAGCAATCATCCTCTGCCATAGCCTCTTGATCTGCTGGGACTATAAATGTGTGCCACAATGCTCAGGTAGTTTTTCAAGTTTTTTTGAAAGATAGGGTTTCGGGCAGTGCCTGTGGCTCATGAATAGGGTGCCAGCCTCATATACCTAGGGTGGTGGGTTCAAACCCAGCCCTGGCTAAACTGCAACAAAAAATAGCCGGGTGTTGTGGTGGGGGCCCGTAGTCCCAGCTACTCAGGAGGATGAGGCAAGAGAATCAGGAAGCCAGGACAGAAGAATCGCTTGAGGCCAGGAGTTTGAGAATAGCCTAGGCTATATAGTGAGACCCTATCTTTCTTTTTTTTTTAGAGACAAGAGACTCACTTTGTCGCCCTTGGTAGAGTGCTGTGATGTCACAGCTCACAGCAACCTCCAGCTCTTGGGCTTAGTGATTCTCTTGCCTCAACCTCCTGAGTAGCCAGGACTACAGGCACCAGCTATAACATCCAGCTATTTTTAAAGATGAGGGGTCTCGCTCTTGCTCAGGCTGGTCTTGAACTCATAAGCTCAGGCAATCCACCCACCTCAACCTCTCAGCATGCTAGGATTTCAGGAGTGAAAGACCCCATCACTAAAAGGAAAGGAAAATAATCCCAGAAAAATTAGCTGAGTCTGGTGGCATGTAATTGTCAGGAGGCTGAAGCAGGGGGACTGCTTGAACCCAGGAGCTTGAGATTGCAGTGAGCTATGATGATGTCACTGTACTCTAGCCCAGGCAAAAGTGAGACTCTGTATCAAAATAAGAAAAAATAAGAGAGTAAATTAACAGATAGAAAAATACAGTTAGGTAGAAGGAATAAAATCTATTGTTTTGTGGCATAATAAAGTGATTATAGTTAAAAATAATTTTTGGTATATTTCAAAATAACTAGAAGAGTGAAAGTGAATGTTCCTAACACAAAGAAATGATAAATGTATGAGATGATGGACATTCCAATTACCCTGATTTAATCATTACACATTGTATGTCTGTATCAAAATATCACATGTACCCCATAAATACGTACAACTATTATCTATGCATAAAAATAAAAATTTAAAAATGGAAAAAAGGCCAGGCCCGGCAGCTCATGCCTGTAATCTCAGCACACGGGGAGGCTGAGGCCGAAAGGGTTGAGGAGTTTGAGACCAGCCTGGGTAACATAGCAAGACCTTGTCTCTAAAAGTAAAAAAAATTAGCCAGGTAGCCAGGTAGCCAGGTAGCCAGGATGGCACAGTACATAAAGTCCCTCCTAGCTATTCAGAAGACTGAGGCAGAAGGACTGCCTAAACTAAGAAGCTCAAGGCTGTAGTTAGCTATGATTACACCAGTGCATTTTAGCTCCTGAGCAATAGAGCAAGACCCTGTCTCTAAAAAAAAAAAAACCACAAAAATTAAAATAGAATTACCGTATGATACAGCAATCACATTATTATGTATATACCCCCTCAAAATAAAATCAATAGGTAAATCAATAAATAAAAGCTAACATTTCCCAGCCTGAGCAAGAGTGATACTCCATCTCTACTAAAAATAGAAAAACACTAGCTGGGCTGGTCGTGCCTGTAGTCCCAGCAACTACTAGGGAGGCTGAGGCTAGAGGATTGCTCAAACCCAGGTAGATTTAAAACCTGAACATATCAGATGTTCACCTGCTTGAGATGCTGGAGACCTTGCCCATTTCTTTATGCAGTTCAAGTGAAACACATGATAACAGCTCTGACAACTCCACACTGGGGCTGTGACACGAACCAATTCACAGCACACCATGCATTCATATTTTTCTGTAGTTAGTTGTTCAACCAGAGAACCTGTTTAAAAAAATAAAACAAAACAAAAAGATAAACTCAAACACAGAAAACCATTTCTTACTTTTGTCAACCAAAGATCAGCAAGTCATTTGAGACAAAAATCCGTACACAGAGATTTGAAGGGATATCTGATTCTGAGTAAGGCAGCTGGTTGTTCAGATCCCTGGCCAGGAATATGCTGAGGTAGAGGATCTAGGAAGGAGACATTCAGATGGAGATTCCTACAAAGTAAACATTCTCAAGATATTGCCCAGGAAAATACCAAAGTAGCCAAACGCTCCTTATAACACAGCTTGAGCACGCACGGAGCACAGGATGTTGTCATGCATTCTGATTTCAAGAGGCCTTAAATATAACAGATCCATGGATTTAGGCTCAGGAGAGGATTGTGAAGCTACACTCTTCAGCTGTAAGAAGGCTAAGCCTGGGCAGGTTCCTACATCCTATGGGTGGTGAGATACTTCTAGCAATTGCACTAAAAGTCTTTAGTCATTCACTCAACATAGATATGCTTAATGCCTATCACAAACCACAGGGATATGTTTACCAGATTGAAGGAGACACAGTCTCTGACTCCAAGAAACCTAGTGAGAGAGACCATGTGTAGCACTGTAAGACTCCTCCCAGATTTATTCCTGAATGCCTTCACTCACTTCCAGATTTTTTCCTCAAACATGATCTCAACAAAGTCCTAATATAGCCAGGCTCTCTCAAAGCTGAGCATATATGTGTATGTGTGTATTTCTTAGTATTATTGTTATTTTCAGGTCGAAATAGGTTAAAAGAATGAAATAACTGACCTCAAATACAACATTCTAAGCACTATGCTGAAGCACTTTACACAAATTATTTAATTCTCTCCATAGGCTGTAACATAGGTGCCATTTTAAACACGAAGAAGCTAAGGCTTCATGCAATTATATATTACTCTACCAGGGTCAAAGAACTAAAAATTTAAAACTCAAAAATTCTGGTTTGGTGCCTAAAGCTCAGTGAGTAGGGTATTGGCCACGTACACTGAAGCTGGCGGGTTCAAGCCCGGCCCAGGCCTGCTAAACAACAATGACAACTGCAACCAAAAAAATAGCCAGGCATTGTGGTAGGTGCCAGTAGTCCCAGCTACTCCAGAGGCTGAGGCAAGAGAATAGCTTAAGCCCAAGAGTTGGAGGTTGCTGTGAACTGTGATGCCACGGCTCTCTACCTAGGGTGACATAGTGAAACTTTGTCTCAACTCCCCCCCAAAACTCAAAATTCAATCTCATCATTATCTGACTCAAAGGCTCACATTTAAATCATTATATAATATTGGCTCTCCCATGATTACTTTGTAAACGTTCAATATAATATCAAAAGAAATACAGAATACCCTGAGACTGTAAGCTGTGTGGGCAGGCACAGGGCCTTGTCTACATTGTTCACTGTAGTATTTCCAATGTTTACTGCGTACCAAAGTGCTCAAAAACTGCTGAATGAACAATTAAATGAGTGATATCTATCTAGTCTGTTTGTTTATCTCTTGCTGTGATACCTGTAGGCATCACCTAAATTGCTGAATATCTTTCTCCCTTTTTTTCTCTGGAATAAAGACACATTGTGTGGCTAATTAAAGGGAAACATACCTGTTTTATGTTTATGAGTACATCATAAAACTGAATTCTATTATAAAAACAAAGAATAAAACTTAGATTCTTTCTTAAAAGTAGGGGTACCCTGTGCAGGTTAACATCTTTGAATAACAAAGTTAGTTATATTTTCTATAAGTCAGCATGTTACATGAAGAAAATTCTGGTGGGATACGTTAAATAAGAGAGCTCATGAGAGATTAAGTTGGAGGCATCTATATACAAGAGTCTGTTTGGGACAGAGGAATAATCTGGGAAAACTATACGTGGGGTGAATTTTACAGAAAATTCCTCCTGAGCACTTCAGAATAGAACTGAGTTAGAAATAAATGGCATATTAAAGTAAGTGTAATATGGAACATACTTAAAAACACTGCATCCTCTGTTGTTTTGATTTTTACCCTGAAGATATCTTTTTATTCTATTGTTTTTCTTATTCATTAAGTTTAGAGCTTATTAAGAAATAAGCATTGTTTTATAAGTGTTGTTTTAAAACCCAGTTGTAGTAAAATTTGACCACTAGAATGCACATACATAGGGATGTGATGATGGCTACTACATTTAAAACCCACAAATTACTGCTAGCCATTTCCAAAGGCTTTCTCTCTCATATCGGACATTCAATATATCAGCAAATCCTACTGGCTCTACCTTGAAAATACATTCAGAATCCAACCTCTGCTGCTATCCCTCTGGTTCAAGTCACATTAGCTCATCTGGATTATTATAATGGCCTCCTAACTAGTATTTTCCCACTTCTACCCTCGCCCTACAGTCAGTTCTCACCATAGCAGCCCAAGGAAGACTATAAAATGCAAATTAGGAGGCAGTGCCTGTGGCTCACTGGGTAGGGTTCCTGCCCCTATACTGAGGGTGGCAGGTTCGAACCTGACCAGCTAAAACAGCAATGAGAATTCCAACAAAAAATAGCCAGGTGTTATGGCAGGCGCCTGTAGTCTCAGCTACCCAAGAGGCTGAGGCAAGAGGATCGCTTAAGCCCAAGAGGTGGAGGTTGCTGTGAGCTGTGACACCACCGCACTTGACTGAGGGTGACAAAGTGAGACCTTGTCTCAAAAATAAAATAAAATAAAATACAAATTAGGGTAGGTATGCTGGCTCAAGCCTATAATCCCAGCACTTTGGGAGGCCAAGGCAGGAGAACTACTTGAGGCCAAGAGTTCTGAAAATAGCCTGGGCAATGTAGTATTGCTATCATCTCTACAAAATTAAAAAAACTAGCATGGCTCTGCAAAATTAAAAGAATAGCTTGGGGGTAGCACCTGTGGCTCAGTGGGTAGGGCGCCTGCCCCATATACTGAGGGTGGCGGGTTTGAACCTGGCCTGGCCAAACTGCAAAAAAAAAATTGCTGGGAGTTGTGGTGGGCACTTATAGTCCTTGCTACTCGACAGGCTGAGGCAAGAGAATTGCTTAAGCCCAGGAGCTGGAGGTTGCTGAGAGCTGTGACACCACAGCACTCTACTAAGGGCAACAAAGTAAGACTCTGTCTCTGAAAAAAAATAAAAAAATAAAAAAATAAAAACTAGCTTGGTAGTCCCAGTTATTCGGGAGGCTGAGCCAGAAGTTAATTACATTTTCTATAAGACAGTATGTTACATGAAGTATGAGTTTGAGGTTACAGTGAGGTATGATGATGACACCATTATACTCTAGCCTGGGCAACAGAGTGAAAGATGTCTGTCTCAAAAAGAGAAAGCAAATTAGGTAATGCCACTCTTTTGCTCAGAATTTATCAATGGCTTCTACCTCATATGCCTGTAAAAGCCAAAGTCTTACAACAGCTCCTATCACTTCCCAGTCCTTGTCTGCTATTCCTCTTTCCCTGGGTCACTAATCTGAGACACTGGCCTCCTTCCTATTTCTCAAATTAACAAACGGATCCCTACTGGTGGCCTTTACACTTGACATTCCCTCTGCCTACAGATTTTTCCCTAGACATCTACACGGCTCAATCTCTCATCTCCTTCAGATGTTTGCTCAAAATGTGACCTTCTCTTCCTGCTGATAAGGAGGCTAGATTAAAAAATAAAAACAAGGGCGGGCTTGGTAGCGCACACCTGTAATCCTAGCACTCTGGGAAGCTGATGTGGATGGATCGCCTGAGCTCAGGAGTTTGAGACCAGCTTGAGCAAGAGCAGCCGAGCAAGAGCAAGACCCCATCTCTAAAATAGCTGGTCGTTGTGGCAGTTGCCTATAGTCCCAGCTACTCACTTGAGCCTCAGTGTTTGAGGTTGCTTCGAGCTGTGACACCAGGGCACTCTACCAAAAGCAACCTGTCTCAAAAAACAAAAACAAAAACAAAAATGCTATCTTCTCATAAGGGATTCCCTGGCCACACTTTAAAAAAACTGCAACCCACTCTCCCTCAACATTCTCTAACCCTCTTCCATACTGTATTTTCTTTCACTATTTGAGATACCGTGCATTTTACTTATTTTATCTTGCTTATTATGTAACTTTACATATAGAATGTATACTACTTGAGGGCAGAGATTTTACTAGAGTGGTGCCTGGGACGTATAGCACCCAATAATATTTGTTGTATAAATGAATGACAATACTAAATAAAAATAACAAAAGGTTCCAGAAAGGTCCTGTTAAAAGAGACAGTGTAATTCTTTCACTGACAATTTTCTTTTAAAATATTGTAATGTTTATTTATTTATTTATTTTGGCCAGCACTGGGTCTGAACCCGTCACCTCTGGCATATGGGGCCAGTGCCTTACCCTTTTGAGCCACAGGTGCTGCTGACAATATTAACCTTCTCTTCAGTTTTATCAAAACATGCCTAACATGCGAAATATGGTATTGTCCTCGAATGCTCTGTGCTGATAAACTATCGTGTTTCAGGTCCAAGACTTGTCCATGCTGGGTGGCAGCCTAGTCCTGACCACTGGCTCTTCATCAATCCTAGTAGGTCTTCTCCCACTAGGGCTTCCCTATCATGTCTCAGTCACAATTATGTCTACTCTATATCTGTAGCTAGACAGCACAGCAGTTAAGAAGATGATGACTCACTGAAATAATCAGAAGAACAGATCTAATTAAAGTATTGACTGCAAACTTTTTAGATATACCACTAGCTGCTAAAAAGACAAAAATTCGGATTTGAAAAATCCAAGATTAAAAAGACTTTCTTGGAGACAATCAGTAGAGTTTGATTGTGGACTGGGTGTTAGATGATTTCAAGAAAGTATTGCTAATTTTGTGTAGTGTGACAAAAGCACCATGGTTATGTAAGAAAATGGTCATTTGTTTTAAAAGATGTATATTTGGGCTTGGGACCTATAGCACAGTGTTTATGGCGCTGGTCACATACACTGAGGCTGGTGGGTTTGAACCCAGCCTGGGCCAGCTA